GAACGCGTTGAGATACTTGATAATTATATCTTTTCAATACTTTACAGAGATTAAAGCATACTTGTAAATGGACCTTTTTATGCTAAGACAACTTTTCTTTAATCAGTTCCTTTTGTCCGAAACAGAAGCCGTAGTTATCGGCAGCACGCGCCATTTTTACAACGTAATCAAATATTTGTTCCCCTGTTTTCAATACGTATTCCGATTCTATCTGAAGTCAAAAATTTATTCTTTATAGAGAAAAGGTTGTTACATGCACAGGGGCATGGATCGCTTTACTTGTAATATAAAAAATAGGGGTCTCCTATGATATGTTTATGTAGTATTTGGAAAAAAGACCAAAAAAAAAGTTACTTCAGCGTGATGCCCCTTTAACAGTAGGTCAAGGCCATTTTTATTTGCAAACTTTGTTGACGGATGCTGAACAGACGCCGGACGCCGCGCCATGGCATAAGCTCACCTGCCCTGGGCAGGTGAGCTAAAAACAATTGAATATAGAATGTCATATAGCAATATATTTATATTTGCTATGCATTGCCACTATATAACACTACCAAGGTCAGTTCCGTGTTACGAGACCACAACACAGGTGTAATGATATCTCCATGGGACCGACTAACTACCGGATAACATTCCCCTCCACACTAACAAGCCGATAAGCAAAAAAACTCACTATGATTCAATAAAATTCACTGTTTTATGTAAGTATAATAAAATGTGAATGAATACATTGATTAAATTATGGAAATAGTATCGATATTTTTGAGCTTATTTCTACAAACTACGTTTTTTTATGGGAAAAGTCATGAGACAAAATTCTGTGAGCAATTCCATAGGCTGTTCTACCTCTTGCACAAACACTGTGTAATTTGAATTCAAAAGTGCTGTACAAACATGTCATATAGTGACATCCCATTTGGAGAGAAGTCAGTAACCAATTACAATACTAAAGAATTATCTCCCTTTACAGCAAAAACAATATTTGTCTATTCTTTACCTTCTAGTTTATTCCCCACTGGAACTTAAAATTTCCATGCATCTCTGAATGTCTACTAAATCCAGAATTTCTGTTTTAGCTTAGTCTATCTTACACATCTTCACAAGTTGTGTGCTACATTTGCTTTGGGAGGGCTTTGGCCACGTTGTGGTATAGCTTACCATCTGCTATTAGAAAACTCCCCTCTTTACATCTGCATTTCAGGCTCTTTGCACAGACGTGTACATACCACCCTCTATTTATTCATTTATGTGCACAGTGAGATGATTTTCTTCTTGCTTAATGTATAATGGTGATTGTAAGCCTTTTGTTTAACAATCATAACTAATGTTATTATCCATATGTTGTAAAGCGCTTTAGAGTAATTCTACCAATTATATAGGGCGCTATATAAATGTTGTATATTATTAATATTTTAAGACTAATTTACAGTAGGTAAAACTAGATCCCAACAAAAACAACACCTTTCACAATAGTTATACTGAAGATTTACTTTTTACACAAACAGTTTGCATATATCAGTAATGATGTGAATTCTAGTACATGTCATTGTGTCATATTCCAAATACAATTTGATTTCGATGTTACGCATTCTAAATAAATGACAATGTTACATACTCTTTAATTTGATGCAGGCACAAGTACAGGTATGCATATTGTCAAATTGCATTTGTGACAAAAAAAATTGAGCCTCCAATCTGTAATATATATAAAAATATAGATATATTCTTCATACATGTACATAAGTGTGATATTTCAGATTTAACTGCATAACATGTCAGATTCAGCTCACATAAACTTCTTCTGAAGAACAAATGGTAATTAAAACCTATTTCACATCAATCAAGTGGTAAAAAAAAAAAAATACATTCAAGCTTTTGGATTCCATTAATAAAGTATGGGTATGAACTTTCAAAATACATGATACACCATACTTAACAAAACACACAAAAATAAATAGCTACATACGACAACTTGGTGTCAGGTGGCTGCTTTGATTTTATACTGAAGTATTCCAAGAAATTATGCACCTATGAAATACTGTCAATTTACAAATATCATTGTAAAGTACTTCCTAAGCAACATGATGGAGTGTTTCACACAATTACATATAAAACAGTGATTCAGTTTTCTGGTACAAATGATTCAGATTCTTCAGTTATGGGTTCATAAGCTGATTTTGGTTTTGTTTCTGCATTGAGTGATTCTCTCTGTGCTTCTGTCAGTTTATCAATAGCTCGATAAAAGTCAGAGAAGTCAATATAGGCCTCTAGTTTACCATTTTCATCCAAGTCCAGCTTGGTAGTCTGATAGTAGCGACTGGGAAACCGCGTTTCCCCACTACTCTGGGTGGAGTTTGTACTGGTAGAGTTAGTGCTGGCGTAGGTATTCAGTGTCGACTGACCGCTTCCACTTGTATTGGACTCGGTTAGAGTATCTTTGCCCGGTGTACCAGAGGCAGTAGGTGTCTGGGGTGATGTCAGGGACATCAGGTCTGAATCAGAAGTTGATGTTGTGGTAACGGGAAGATAGTTTGGTACAGACACCGGGGGCTGGCTGTTTGCACGCCCCTGGTAGAAGGGTATGGATACAGGATGATAGGATGCACTACCAGCAGGACTTCCTGCGTTGGCCAGGGGATAGTTGAAGTTTCTCACTAACAATGTAATGTCACCACGTTTTTGACACAGCTGTTTCTTATCTGGAGAGGTCAGATAGGTATCATGATGGATGCGTGCCACTTTATCCACAACTGCCTGAGCCACTCCATTTAATGTGGACTGGACAGAAAACTCTGCTGCCACCATCCGAGCCACTTCCACATTGACCCGATCACACCCAGTAGCATCTTGTAAGGCTTGATAGAGACCATCGGACATAAGGATAAGGAAACAGCTAGAGCTGTCAATGGTCACCCCTCCATGGACGTAGGGGTCAGCTATTACTGGCTCCCTTATGGCACTCCTGTCAAGTACAAACATTTATATATATATATTTGATTTTGTATACAGGTAACATCTTCTTTTGTAAATGAACCCATTTTTGGTAAAATTTGCAAGCATTTGTGAATTTTATCATTATCACATGTATACACATACATTATGTATATTCATGTATATACATAACAACAACAGGACAAAAGTAGTGAGTATCTATGTAAACCCCTTTAATACCTGAGTATATCTATGTCTTTGTAGCCTCCCTTGACGTGGTAGTCGCCTATACATCGAGTGCTGTCAGAGCTGCCAATATGTCTACACTGTTTCAGCTGATCAGTGTCAAGGCCGAGCTGGGCAAGGCGGTTCAACTCCTCTTCATTCATGAGGGAATGGTCAACAGACAGTTGCATAACCCTCAACATACCCTCATCATCCGTCGTACATAACAGTGCACGAGAGTCACCTATGAAATTATATAATTCACTTGTTAATACATTTTTGAAGCAGAAAGATACATTTTTCGGTGGGAGATAGCCCAGAAATCTGTATTTAGGTATTAAGTACAAGGACAAAGGTCAAATAGACAGTCGCACAAGGCAATTAATTAATACCCCTGACTTTGTTGATGCACAGATATATAAAGTTAATAATAGTTCTAAAGTGTACCACACTAAGTTCAGTTTCCCCATCTTACTAAACCCAATGAGTTGTCTACATAAACACTGAAGATAAATACAAAGTCTAATCAAGGTGTTGATATCCTACAGAGTCTAGTCTTACTAAACCCAATGAGTTGTCTACATAAACACTGAAGATAAATACAAAGTCTAATCAAGGTGTTGATGTCCTACAGAGTCTAGTCTTTGATAGACATCTTGATTCTTTAAACTCGTTACTATCACACATCACTTCTGAAAAATTATACAGTGTGCAGAAACTAAAAAGAACAGATTTAGATAACAAACATAACTCATCAAATCAATGTGTATTTTAATAATATAAAGTTAAACAAATAGGACTTATAGCCCTTGAGTTACAGACGTTGCTTACCTTTTCAGGGTATACGTTTGTGTGGCCTACCTTCAGAAATGTCTTTTTAAACACTTGATGGTTCTAAATTAGTCAGAAGTTTGTTTGTGTTGATTTGGTTACTTTAAACGTCTTCATTAAATCATGACCTTCTAAATGTTTTACTATCCTGTGTGTTGGGTACTGATGTGTGTTTATCTGCATGGAGTAAGATCATGGTCACTGAAAAGTTTGTTTTTATTTATAACCCTACAAAATTAAATAAAAGGTGTCAAACATTCCTTTTAAATCATTTAGCTGATGTGCTGTACAAACATTCCTTTTAAATCATTTAGCTGATGCACTGTATACTACAATTAAGAAATAGAAATGAAGTCAAAACCAGTAGAGATGTTTTAGAAGTATGAAGAGAAATATTGGTTATTAGAATCCAGTGAGATGAAGTAACTATTTCAAAACATTTTATGCTCAGATATTTATTCTTCTCCGGACCCCATTTTTTTTATTGTTGAGCATGTGAGGAATTAAAGCTCTCAAGCTACAGATGTTATTTGTAAACAACTAAAGAGATGCAGCCAGGCTAATACCTGGTAGTTTTGGTTTGTTGTTTTATAGTCTAGTCACCCTACGCTAAATCAGCCCAAACCTCAAACTAATTGCAACAGAATTTATTTTTTGTTTTTTTGGAATGGTAGTTATCAGTATTATAACAAGAAAAAAGTCTCCTGGAATCAAACTTTGGTAAAATCATTTTTTGACCTTCTAAAGGATCAAGAAAATCAGGAAGATCACATATCTGACCACTTTTGAAGTGTAATATCTACCTCTTTTACAATACCGGATATATAAGATTAACCATATAGCAAGACCAACTAAAATATAGTACAGATTTACCAAAATGTTACAGAAGAGGTATTGCATTGAAAAATTATTGAACTATGAAAATGGCTTAAAAGCATTTTGAGCTTGATAATATTGGCTTTTGTTTTCTATTTAAATGCAGAAAATACTAATTACTTAATCTCAGTGACCTTATGAGTCTATATCTAGCTTCTTAAAACATCACATTTTATCTAATATTGATGCACGAAAAATGGTACATTCACATACAAAAAAAATATCAACCATCTAATTTGACCAAATGTGGTGTTAACTTATGTCCAAAATAAACAAGTTACCTATTTCTGTAACATGTAATTTGAAAAAGGACAAGCAAATGCTTACAAGCATTTTATATCCATTTGTATGTGTGCAAAACTTATTGGAAATGGTTATTTTGGTAAGATAAGTGTACAAATGTGTCCAAGCTCTGATGGTGAAAATCTCATGCAATTTTGCCTCAACACTGAAAAAATGGCTAAGTCCATGAGTCTGTACAACGAAAATCTATATTTTGTGCACCAGTTTTGTCCGATTTACAAATGATTTTGCAAGTAAAGCAATAATTAAACGAATGTTTTTGTGAGATAAATTTGAAGTTAAACATTTATACAAATTCATCATTTTATCGAAAATTAGTTATCCGCCCATTCTGTTCTATTGTGTGAAAGAAAAAAATGATCTGTTAAATAATAAGATACAAATTTAACCTTACTTCCCCTTAATCAAGAGGACCATTTTATGGTGGTAATTCCTGCCAAAAGATTTAGCAATCAGATAAAACACACAAAAAATATTCACATTTCTGTTGTCCAAAATCATGGACTTAGTCATTTTTAACGGTTTAGTCAAATTTGCACGAGGTGAGGTATTCATCAACCTGACTTCATTCATTATTTGGAGATATCTTAACAGAGATGGCATTATTGCTAAGAGTAACTTGCATAGAAAATGATTTAGAGCACTTTTCAGTATTTTGCTGAAAATATTGTTAAAATCTTACATGCATGAATTCAAATATTGTTCGATTTGGACTTTAAAACAGCTCCCAGTCAGCCCCGCAGGCCAACTTTGAACATTCATAAATTCTAATATGTGAAAGAAAAAACTCTCATTTATGAAGATTTAATACACAAATCAGTTTTCAATGCATTTCTACAAAGCCAGTATCGATATTGTTATTGATTAACTTAATATTCTGTCTCAAAAATGCAACAAAAGCTAATATGTTCGACATTTGAATGTTTTTAGCAATATTCATGGTGTGATATTTTTTCAATGTGATGGTTCCTATTTATTTTTTTGGCTAATCTGTATTGTACACTGATTGGTCTTTCAATACAGTTAATTCCTCCTATTCAGTGTTTCACAAGTGGTTGATATTTAAGCTTCAATGTTGGTCCAGTAAGCATTTACTCTTATTTTCTTGATCCTATTTCGGGCGGAAAAAAAGAAAAAAAATCCCAAAATTCGATTTTTGTAGATTTTTTTTCTGTTACACAGAATAGACCAACCTGTATGAAAAACCAGAAATAAGTTATGTTGCAATTAGTTTGAGGTTTATCATAGGGTGACTAGTCTATTAGTATCAGATCATGTTGTGATTGACTATGACCATGAATTACAGGTGTCAGGGCCTCACTCAACTGGCACTGCCTGCGATAGCTGCAGGAACGGTAGCTTCTAGGCCCCATTGTTTATATATATATAAAAAAAAAATATTATCATACTATAGACAATAATAAAAAAAAGAAGAAAAAAAAAAGAAAACAGTCAGGCCAAGAAGCTAAAGTTCCCGTAGCTATGCCTGTGACTGATGTTGAATTGTCACTCGCAGAACAAAGTGTCAGCCTTTTGTTAAGACACTCTCACCAAGGTAAATTTATAAAATGTTCATTTGATTATGTTGTTATTTTGCTGAAAGACTGGTCCATGGAATTTATTCATTTTCGTTTGCAAAGCAAACAATCACCATCAACTGCTTATGACCAAAAGGACCAGTCACTGGTAGCATCGTACAGATGGTGGCTATACAAAGTGTTATTATACAGGTCACTAAGGCATGATAGACTGTAGTAGTTGACATCCTTTCCACCAATGCCAATAAGGTATGTCACATAAAAACAGGGAAATCAACTGAGTTATAGCATATTATATATAATAGAGGATACATACCAACATTTGCCACATAGAGATTCTTGTGACAGATGAGGGCCACAGTAGCTGTCGTACCACCAGTTATGTTTCTTTCCAGTTCATCAAGCTTACTCATGATTTCTGGGAACTGTCTACAGGCATCATAGTGGTTGAGTCCCTGAAAGTCACTCACAACATTAGTAATGCGGTCTTCGATGTTACATGCACAAATTCACATTAAAAAGATGTCTATGGGCAACACATTGTTACAAAAACACTGATCAACTATCCATAAGTTTTGTGTGATTCGTATCTCACCATGAACATATCATACAGTAATCAATATCATGACATGAAATACATCAGCTGAAAGTTAGTGTATCTTAGAGTAATTTACCTCAGGAAGTTGCAGTTGGATAGTAGTTTTCTCAGCAAAGACATGGTCAATTGACTCAAAGAAACTTTTTTCTACTGCTATGAATGCCTGAAACAACAAGAAAAACTGTATAGTCACATTGGACTGATAAATACATCTTTGCATGTACTTAATAGTTAAAAAATATCATTTCAATACATTTCAATACATTATTTTTCAAGTACAGCCAGAGAGAAATACCTGGTTTAAAACCTCTTTTATTTCATCATCTGATGTTGTTTCAACCAGCTGCCCAAGGAGTAATTCTGCTGGCATCCTCTGAGACGTGAAGTTGGATGCTTTACTGCCATCATGGCCATCAAATACTCCATACAGGTAGCAGTCATCATTGAGTCTGTAAGTCACAATATTACAGTGCAGTTGTCTGCCATGAGACAAAACTATGTCCGAGGCTGTCCCTTTTTTCATCCTTAATTTACAATATTTAAATACAACTAGTTCATAGCATGTTCAACTATTTACATTTTGCAGACAGAAAACCAGGACTACTTCATCAGGTATTCAATTCCAGCTAATGTAAGCCTTGAAATGAGCATTGGCCCCAGTATTACTTTGCATTTTTGCAATCAATAAGTGCAAATTATTCTTTAAATAAAACCACTATTACTTTTTTTGTGATTATTAGGCAACACAAACAGGCTATTAAGTTATCTTAGTCTTATCAACATTTTGATTTTTCACATGTGATATTGTAAACCAACTTGAAGTGGAAGCTCCTGTCCTCAAACTCGTGAAGTTCCCGCCGAATACCGTCCTCCCGGTAGACCTGATTGGTGGAGAAACCTATCCCAGACAGCTGACATACTGGAAGGTCATCAGTCCAGCTCAGGGCATGACCCTAATAACAGTACAGACAAACTTCAGGATATCAGACATACCCATTGTGTGTTAGTGATTCAGTACTAGTGACCGTGTATTCTTAGTTGGCAGTGATTTTTTTTCTTATAATGGCCAAATATTTTCTGCAGTGTATTTTCCAAAAATCACTTTATTTCCCCCAAAATATGCTTTTTGAGTGTGATCTTATCCCAATAATCAAAAGGTTCAGGCCCCTGTCAAAAATTATAATAATAATGATAATAATAATTTGTGGTTCTTATATACCGCTTTATCACAACCTAGTGCGTAGATCATCTCAAAGCGGTTCACAAATTATTATCCGTGGTTATGTGGCATTTGCAACCAGCCAATATCTTTCTCAACTCCCTGGGGAGCATACAGCCAGAGCTGCCATTTCGGCGCTGAACATTCAACAATTCTAGCACTGCCCAACCACGTACTCATTTACAGTTGAGTAGATTGGAACAAGCGAAATTAAGTTTCTTGCTCAGAAATACAACACAGTGCCGTGCTGTGACTCGAACCCGCAACCTGTCGATCACGAGCCTGGCGTCCTACCACTAGACTACCGTGCCTCCCAGGTTCTCTACTAGTAAGAAAAGCAAATACGCACTTATTAGTACATTTATTTGACCATGGATATCCAGACGAGAAATTAAAGAGTAATATACAACACAGCACCTAACAATTACACTACCTCCTCCTCACGATAGCTACTCATGGCTTCGCTACTTGTTAAATTAATGTATAATGACCACCCCTCCCAATTCCACAGATTTAATTCAATTCAAAAGTATTATATTGACAATACATATGTAACAGGGATATATATATATATATACCATCTATATTACTTCCGTGACTCATATATATATGTCTATTGTGTGAAAGACTTTAAAAGAATTTTAATATTATAATTATAAAGTTTAATAATTAGTATTGTTTTAAAAGGTATTTATTTATTTCATTTACAGTATTACATGTTAAACACTTTGTAACAACTTCTAGTTCTACCATATAGTGACCACCTTCAACTAATTGAAGATTTTATCAGAAGTTGGGTTTATACAACACAAATGACAGACTATATATATTACATAATAATTAATAATTATTCGCTTGGTAAAAGTTAAGAGAAGGAAAATTTAGTTCGAGGAGAGTCCGAGAGAGAGGTCCGAGCAAGCTAGTAATTGGGCAGCCCCACCTACAAAGCTTGTTCGGAAAAGGGGGAAGAGAAGGGGTGCATTTTATGTAAAGTCTGTTGAAGTAACTAATTACTCTGCATCTTCAATTTTATAGGTGTGCCTGGAAAGATATGCCTAACGTAGAATAAACAGATTTAGAACGGTATTCCGACAATTTAAGCTAAATATATCCTACAAATTACTTAATGAAACAGCAATCTCAGCCCTGAACTCTGTGACAACCCCTCAAGAAACAGTCTGTCAGGGGAGCATTGTGACCAGCTGATGCGGGTCATGATCATTGGAGCCAAGATGACCCAGGCCGCTTTTGTTTATCACGGTTGAACCAGTTGGACGAGAGTTAGGGTCGGACCTAGTTATCTGGTGCTGCTTTAAGGTGAGCATTGACAAAGTCTTACAAGGCCTTCATAAACGTTTGCAGGTCCGCAAGTATTAATACCCAAAATGTTACATTTAAAAATTGACAAACTGTTTGTTCCAAATAAACGAACAGTTCCCTTTTTGACTTTGGGGCGGCCCTGAAGGGGTGGCGCAATACTAAATCGAGAGTTATTTTTAAGAAATAGATGTAGCCATGTAAATGAAAAAATCTAGTCAAATGTGTTTTGTGATTTTGTTAATATTTTGTATCCTTTCAGATTTTAGAGTTTTAACTTTTTATGTTGTGTAGCCAGATATCCTAAGGGCATTTTCTGACTGGTTAAAACATAATATGCAGAAAAAAAGGAGACTAAAATGCATAAAAAAATAATAATTAATTTATCAAAACTTAAGTACAAATACCTCAAAATGCATTTTTCGGGGGGGGGGGTCAAATTTGGCACTCACTGACATGCCCGAAAATATCTCACCCATTTTTAAAATATCCCCATCTCATGAAATTCTTGGGAGAAACATCCTCTTACAATTTGAACCCCGGGGGATCCCTGCTGAGTATGAGTGGCATATTATCGATACAATGTAACTAAGAGCCAAATCATGGTGCATGTCATGTACAGTAACTTTAAAATTGTCACTGATGCAAAGAAATGCAGTTTTGCCAATATAAGTACATTACACTTTAAAATATTATTTACAGTAACAATATAAATATATTTATGGTATGGTGATCCTTGAACTACATTTTGTTGATTTTTTTATCAATACAAAATATTATAAGTTTTCCGTTATATATTTGATTATCAAATTCATATCTTCAATTAGGATTGATTTTTGAATGATCATAAAATTTCTTAAGAGACATACTTACAGTATCTAAATGATAATCTGAGTCATGTAACTTGGGTTAATAGTTACAAACTTTAGATAATGTGTCATTTCATTAAGTTCAATATTTTTATAAATATAAGGAGATTGACATTTTAGAAACATTTGTAAACAGAAAATAACAAAGTTTATAACATGCTCATTTATGACAACACTCCATGTTATTTAAGGACACGATATACAAAATTCATTTATTAATCTTAATCACACGCCCTCGATCGCCGCTCCTCGATTTTACTTTAATACGTTTAACGTTAAGATATGCTAGCGGATATTTTACTTAGATTTTTGTAATCATTTTTATTTGAGACCGGTATTCTCTGAACAGCTAGAGAACTAGTAAATTTTAACAGAGAAATGAAGGTCAGCAGAAGTTAAGTTAATGTGATATTTCGTTTCACTATTTTCTTTGTTACAAGTTATTGAGAGGCCTCCAATAAACTTCGTCTGAATGATATCTTCCTCTCCATCC